AATGCGTACTCTAATTTCCATCGCTCTCATTGCTCATCCCTTGATTGAACTTTTGGACACCGTGAGCAGATGGGGAACAGGGTAATAAACGCATTCAGCGTAGAAGACATTGCCTTATAATCGGTGTGCACCAGAATTTATGTGCTATTATGATATATTTCTAGAAGTTTTATCACTAATATTTGACCTTCCTGATTCTTGATATGCTGTGGCAAATGCATAGTTTCTCAGAAAGATTTTTTTTATTTTCCAAATAATTAAGAAATCAAACAACTTCTAGTTATCTTCTTTCACAGTATCTGTTTATATCTTTTGACCCTAGCTTAGATATCTGATGTATTTTCTTTTAATGACTTGTAGAATCAGTAACAATGATGGGTCTCATTCTCCTAAAGAGCCTTGAATATAGCACTTTCTTAAAAAGCTCAGGGCTAGGATGAAGGAGACGTTACTGGGGCCTGCTCGAGGCAATCGATGAATAAAAGGATGGTCGTGATTCATGATTCGTGATTCTTAGAAATTAGTTTACGTATCATACAAAGAAATCTTTGACTATAAATATTTTAAATCCCTCTCCCACTTCAAGTTACTTCTCTTTTACTCTCTTAACACGAGCATTTGCTAAATAGATGTTCTTCATTTTAAAGTGATTGCAATCTTTGTATATTTTTTGTTAGTGCCTCTATGTTCTACAAGGAATAAACATTTTTTATTTGAGTAAAGACAATTTGTTGAATGCTTTGCTTATTGGGTCCTGAGAAACGCTTTTCTCTAAATAGTCATAAAAATCATCTTTATTATCATAAAGAAATAGGAATTCATGAGTTACTTCAATTTAAAATCCTTCTAAAATTAATTTTTAATGTCAGATATGGCAAGGGTCCATGTCTGGATACTCAATTCCCCAAGCATTATTTAGTTAATATTTTTCCCCCATAGCTCTGCAGTGACACGTTTATTATTAATCAAGCAATTGGATGAATATGGGTTGGCTCCTGACTTTCAGTTCTACATTGTTGCTCCTTTTTAATCTAAGCTTGCACTTAGAGTGCCTCAACTTCGTTCACCTTGTACAGATGAGCCTTGATTTGGGGATCCTGTTGTATTATTGTAGAGATTTTAGGAACAATTTCCCCATAGTACCTGCTAGTACCTGGGATTGATTTAAATCAATTAATTCAGGGAAGACCTGGCACATTTACCATATTACACTTTATGACCACTGATACTGTATTCTTTATTTAAATATTCTATAATTTCTCTCATCAATGCACTGCTCATTATAATTTTATCCTTAGAGAACTTATGCTTTTTGGGGGGGGTCGGAGGATGTTTGTTACATCTGTCACTGTCACTGTCCTCCCGTTGTTCATCGATTTGCTCGAGCGGGCCCAGTAATGTGTCCATTGTGACTATTGTTACTGTGTTTGGCATATTGAATACGTCACAGGTAGCTTGCCAGGCTTTGCAGTGCGGGCGAGATAATCTCTGTAGCTTGCCGGGCTCTTCGAGAGGGGCGGAGGAATCGAACTCGGGCGGGCCATGTTGGCCGCTTGCAAGGCAAACGCCCTACCTGCTGTGCTATTGCTCCAGCCCTGTTACATCTGATATTATGTATTTGGAAATTGTGAATTCTTAAAGAATTGTATTTTTCTAATTTTATTTTTTACCAATTAGTGTATGGAAGTAGCATTGTTTTCTTTACACTTTTCTTGTGTTCAATGGCTAAGCTCATTTATTAATTCTAACATTTTAATCTGAAATTTAAAATATATTTTACATAAATTAGTTTGTCTACTTATGGTTTCATTTCATATTCTAAAATTGTTTTCTTATTGCCTAATAAAAAATCCAGTAAAATTAATTTTCTTCATTCAGTATGAGACAAAGACAAGTTTCTTGGGGGTCCATGAAGTGTTAGGAATTGAACTCAGATCTTCCTATCAAGCATAGGCTCAGGTCATTGAACTACCTCTCTGTCTTAGAATTTTTAAGGCAACTATTTTTCAGATGAAATAAGCCAAATTTGTTAATTTTATCATGTTTCTGTCATCTACTGAAAAATTTGTAAATTTTATTTTTGTTCCCTAAATGTGGTGAGTACAAACATATAGATATGATGACAATTTGCTTACTTAGAATTAACGTAACTTGCTTGAGACACATATTGTATATACTGTTTATTCAACTGCTAATGTGCATATATTTATATTTGTACCAATAAGGCTAGTCATCCCCCTTTTTGCCATATTTTTGTCAAACATTGGGTGAATAGTAGTACAATTTTTTGGTTTTAGTATGCATTTTTCCTTATACATTTTTTAATTTATTATTTTTAATGTTCTGGTTTGGGGGCCACATACAGTGGTTCTCAGGACTTACTCCTGGCTCTGCACTCGGAGATCACTCCTGGTAGAGTCTGGGGAACCATATGTGGCAGCAGAGATTGAAATAGGTCAATTGTGTGCACAGCAAGAGACCTAGCCACTGTATTATCTCTCCCTCCCTATTGGAACATTTTCTGTTTCTTCTTTTGCTTTTTGGGTCACATTCATCAATACTCAGGAGCTACTCCTGGCTCTGCACTCAGGAATTACTCCTGGAGGTGTTTGGGGGACCTTATGGGATCCCGGGGATCGAACCCAGGTCGGCTGTGTGACAGGCCCGCTGTACTATCACTCCAGCCCCATTTAAACATTTTTGATTCAAAATTGAAACCTTCTGAAAAAATGACACAGTATATCATTATTTCATTTTACATAAACTATAAATCTTGACAATGTTTATTCTAGATACCACCACAATCAATTCATACTGAGAATTCAGCATCCCTCCCATTTTTCTCTTGGTATCCTTTTGTAAATAAATCTAATCAAATACAGAACTTGTTAACCACAAGTTCATTCTGCCTTTATAATTTCCTTTCCAAAGTTCCAGGTAAATGGGAGCATTAAGTACATGGTCTTTGGGGTATAACCTTTTTTGCTTAGCAAAATGAATCTGCTATTCACAGATACTGTCATGTATTGATATAGTTTATCCTATGTGATGCTGCAAAGTACTAAATCTCTGGATGTACAGATTCTTCATCCACTTAGTGATGAAAGGACATGTAAAGCTTTTTCGGGTTTTGACAATTATAAACTTGCACACAAATGTTTGTGTACAAAGGCAAGCGCCCTACCGACTGTACTAATTTCTTGTCCCCTCTATCCTGTCTCGTGGTATTTTTTAAAGTTTATAGTTTGAATAAATGCTGTGAGATTTTTAGGTATGCTCAATGTTTACCTTTTGTGTGAACATCCAACGAATCCCAGACCACTTACTGCAAATTATTCATTTTATTCATTGACTTATCTTTCCATCTTTTTGTTACTTTTATTTGAATTTATAATTAAAATGTAAAATATAATAAAATTTTGTCTATTGATCTTTTACTTTTCAACCATGACGATTAATGTATTGCTTCTAGATTTTCATACAGATTCAACTAGATTTTCTGTATTCGATCACATTGTCTATGAATTTTACCTTTTCCTTTTTAAACTTTCATTTATTTACATTACCTTATCTGGCAAGACCCTTTAAATAATCTCAGGAATTTCTAAGAACTAATTTATCCTCCTTATTCCTAATTTCACAGAGAAAGAATTTAGTCTTTGACAATTCAAGGTCATGTTTGCTGATGATTGGGTATACCAGTGTTTTTTTTTTTATAGTGGAGGAATTTCCTCTTCAAATTTTCTGGCACGTTTTTATAGAGGTGATCACAGGTTTGTAGTCAACTGATTCAAAGACTTGGAAACCAAGATCCTAGGCCAATGGCAGATTCCCACTGAGGCTATAATTTAATTCTGAAATGAAGGACTATTGTGGAAACAGTCCATTGGAAAATAGAAGTTAACTTTCAATAGGTGGTTACCCGCCCAAAGGTGCTTCACCATCCCCCTCCACTTTTTGCATAAAGTTCATTTTAAAACTAGCTTTTGCATCACCTCAATTCATAGGGACACTCAAGAGAACAGGAAGGCAGATTAAGTTGTTCTACAGACTCTAAAATTGTGCTCGCATGGCTACTAGGCTTAGAGTGAAGTTGATGCATGTAGCCATCCCGTGTTCTTGAAGCTCCCACTTTATCCACACATCCTTTTACTTTCACTCTGGGCATATCAAGATAGAACCATAGATCAAATTTTCTGAGACCCTGGTTAAACTCTAGGTGGGAGTGTTGCTCCTTACATTACTCAAGAAACTTTGCATGGATGCTTCAGAGAGTGCTGATACTTCCCTAGGCTAGCCACTGGTTTTATGGCAGGAAGCTTCTTGGGATAATTTACTGTGCACCATTTCATCCTGGGGTTCCCTACAGCATTGTACCAATCAGCTGCAGAAAAAACGTGTGATGATGATGATGGTGATAATGATGATAATGATGGTTGTGGTGGCAATGACATTACAGAAGATAAACACTTCCTGCTGTAGGATCAGATATATTCTCAAAACTTTCCAGATCTTAACACTTTATTCTTTGTGTTCTGGAAAGCAGGGGCCTCATGTAGTTAAATTTTTTTTTTGAGATGACATCTAATTAAAACTCTGAGATTTGACTTCCACGAGCATCTGTGATATTGAATTATAAATGGTTAGATGCAAATAGCCTATAAGGAAAAATTAATTCCCATTCACAAATGACACTAATATAATCTGGGCTACAAAGATCAATGATTTGCCTAATGTTGAAACAGTGACATTGGGTTCTTGAACTATTTTTTTTTAAGTGTGGTTTATCACACTCTTGGAGAAGAGCAATTTAGAAGGTACATTCTGCTAGTGAATTTAAGATTAATTGATATCAATTCAGCTTTGGCGGTTTAGCATAAAACAGTCTAATCTCTGTGATATTGCTCAGGCTATGCTTCTGATATTTTAGTTAATTTCAGACATTGCTATACTGATGAAAATGAAAAAAAATGTAATAGGGAGAAAAAGACAGAAACATAAAAAATAAAAATCACATTTATTTAAACAAAAATATACACACAGTGTACAATGGATATGGTTTACACAGAACAGTAAAACAAAATGATATTTCTTTATGCCAATATCAAATTATCTAACCTACTTGTGTCTTGTTTTTCTAGGAATACAAACTATTGGTTCAGAACATATATTTCATATAAAAAACAAGTGCCAATGTTTTACATAAGTACCACAGGGTTTGAAAATTCAATGTAAGGTTAAATAAAATAATAAAATATTGACATGAGAAATAAACGTGTACAAAGGGGCAGTGAAGCAGAAGTCTATACAGCTCTAGAAATACAGAGTTCGAAAAGCTTGAAAGTTCCTTAATGTGGAATATTTTAAAATATTGATAGGGATATTAAAAAGCACCACAAGAATGTCACAGATGACGTGGTAATCCTGCCAATATTTGGTTCATTATTGTTAATTATATCATAGATGCATTGTTGGATTGTGCTCTTTTGTGACCTTAGAGTAGTTTAGACAATTTTTCGATTATAAATTTACTCCTAGAGTGAATGTGCAAGTAGAAAATTTTCAAGAACCGTATGCACTAAAATACAAGGAAGACACAGTTTAGGAGAAAGAGTCTTCTGTACTGTCTTCTCTCCCTCAATTTTCATCTTCTGAGGCACGAAACTGTGAGTCTGATCTTCCTCTTTAAATGTAAAAATCATGTATTCATGGAATAGATTAGGATTCAAGCTCAGGGTTGTGTGCCCTGTTTTGTTTTGCTGTCAAACAATCTTTCCAACTTCCTCCTTGTTACTAGTGACCACACACACTTTGATTCTTCTATATAAAAAATTTAGATGTAGACTTAAATTAGTCTAAATTTAGCTCTAGACTTCTTTTTCTTGCTTAGATATGAAACCTGAAGAGTACAGAATACATGCTAGACTCAAAGTCAAAATCCAAGTTTCCATACCTTAACTCCTCATTTTTTTAATTGAAAGCATTAATTTTATCTTCGGTATTTTATTGAAAACATTAATTTTATTTTCCTACTCTTAAAGACAGTTTCTGCCGTAGTAGTACCATCTGTTTGGATAGAAAGTTCTAACTTAAAACTGACACAGGAACAAAACATACAATAGATATTGAGGCTTCATAAGATAGTGAAACATAAACATTGAAGAGCACGGCTTTCCCCACTGCAGCTGGGTTACACAGAACGCAAATTCATGATAAATTTGTCTGGCAGTCAACTCCAGATCTTTCTGAAAGGAAAGACTTTCAGCAGGCCCTAATTTGTAACCCCTCCACCCCTCCACCCCCAGCTACTGATATCTTGTTTCAATAAGATTGCTTCCCTCAGGAATTGCTGAGGTAAATTTTTCTCCCCAGTTTCTTAAACCTGTGATAAAAGTTAGTTTATTTCCTAAAAGATTACAAAGGTGGTCTGTCTATTGAACTAAGCAAGTGACAGAGTGCCCTGCTCGGAAATCATCTGTGATGAGTTAGCTGACTGCCTTACTTTGTTTAATCAAACAGGTTCCAACTGAGTCATATTTATTAGAATCTGGACACTGCTATCTGTTATTTCCTTTCCGCATGTAGCAAATGCAAACAATTATCAACTTCAAAATGGATCACTAAGCATGTGTTTTGTGATACTCCAGTTGAGCTAACTTTTCTTCCTAGTTTTTATATACTGCTGAGGTGATCTTGGTAATCCCCTAGCACTATTGGGCTGAGTATCACCAAGGGTGGTTCCGGGGTACCCAGAATAGTAGGGTGAGGCTCATAAAAAAGAATGCACAAAAATAGGGTTTTTTTTTGCAGGAGAAGTTTTTGACTATGCTAATAAAACCAAATGTGTATGTGTGCATGTAATCATATTACAATGCTACCCTTTGGAACTTTCAATATGTAAGTATTTATTTAAGGACTGTTTTAGTTAAAAAAATCCTGTTGACTTTCTAATGAATGAATGCTTTTTCCATATTTGAGCCAAAAGGTTTCATTACTTAGGTTTTGTGAGAGTGTTTACTGGAGAATCAATTATTTTGGTCTCTTGGAGCTCAGAATACTATTCAACACACTGAATTAGGCTTCATGGTTATTCAAGGACATCTCAGTTATACCAACCTCTTTATCTTAAATCAACTTACACAATGAAAACAGCCACAAGTCCTGCCATTTCAAATGAAAGTAGGTAACTCGCAGATTATATTGAAATGGATAATGTGGTATAAAAGAGAATACCACCATGAGGCTATCTGCGAATAGATCCTTCCACAAAGAATCTTTGCAAGCAAAGGCTTGTGAATAGTTTGGCATCCCTCTCAAGTGTAATGTTCACCAGTCATTAATTATAATGATAGATGATACTAGTACGAAAGCCCCAAAGAGACACCTGAGATTTAGTAATTTAAAAATCCCCACGAGTTCTGACTTTCGTCTAGAACCCTTATCTCAAAAGCCAAGAAGTATTATCACATTAGTTATGGAAAGTCCCAGCAAATCATCACTGAATGTGCTCGTTTTAAGGGGAATCTAAGCAAATGCCCCTGGCATTTACCAGGAAGATGCCCACCCTGGAATACAGACTTCCAATTGTTAAAGTTTACCTTTTCAGAGAGTTGGAAGATGAAGTTCTTAAAAATTATTAAAATTTGGAGGAAAGCTGTTTCAATTACACAAGCCTTTCTTGTCTAATTTTCAATTCTAGTGATAAATTACCAATTTCTACTTAGCTAACAGGGCTTGTCCTCACATTTCACTCCAACCGGATATAGCAGTTACATTCTGCTTTTTTATTTTTTTCTGGTTTGCTTCTTGTCATGCCAGGGATTGAACCCAGAACCTCACACATGCAAGGCTGAACCTCTCCACCAGCTCTACCATGACAATTTGAAGAAGAGACGAACCGAAGTCTGAAAGGTTAAAGAGACTGGGATCGTTGTGACTCTGAATTTACCCAGCTACCTGAGGATGTAGCATTCCTTCTCAACTTACTCATTTAGAATGGTGCTACATGAGCATATTTCCATAGCAGTTTTGAATATGGTGAGGGGGTATTAGGTGGACAAGAGTATTATTTTATTGAGTGGACATAAATGTAAAATTCGAGTTAACAGGAATAATCACATAGGTTTGTCCTGAACTCTGGCAGTATGCATTTTGAGTGGTTCACCCACCCATACTGACATCTCGCTATGTCAGACAGACAAACTGACATTAGGTCTGTTATGCCCCAGTGACTGTGGGAAAACTCTGTAAAGATAGCAACGGCCTTTCAGGAGCTGTACTATGTGAAGTGCAGACTGACACCGACTTTCATTTGGGATGTACAAGTTGTTCATCTTGAACTTCCTGGCCATTCCTCTCCCCTTTTGTCTTTTGCACTTTTGCACTATTGAACCATCTGGAGAGCAACTTGCAGAGCTGGGCCCTCTAACCCTGGGACTAAATTTGGAAAAGATACCAAGTTTCTGAAAAATACTGACATCACACAATCAGCCTGGTTAGGTCCTCTGCCTGCCTGCTCAGGACAAACTGTCCCATCTTGATTGAAGGCTCAAAGTCCTTAGAAACACATCGGAAGTGGCTTCCATGGTCAGAGTCCAAACTTCTGTTCCCTAGAGTCATCGATGTCAAATGCCACCAGGGAGGTCTGGGTTACCTATCCGACCTTGGCACTCTCCTGTACTTGCCCTGAGGGAGGCATGAATGCTATGCTATGCCTCGTTGTATCAGAGTAGGGCTATTTTCTCAAAATGTCACAGACAGGCCTCACTGAATGAAACGCACACTTCTGAGTTGATCTCAGCCGCTGAAGATGAATACAGAGAGTTGAGTACTCAAGACACAATCTTGGAAAGTTTTAAAAAGGGGCTATTTTCAAAGGAGTGTCCTGCCAATGCAGTGATTCCTATGTGGGGAGAGGAAAATATCCCTGATCGCCCTGTTTCACAAATTTATGACGATTTTTTAAATAAAAGGGAGAGGTTAGGAGGTTATTCAACTGCAGCGTGTATGTGTCCCTGTTTATTTACAGGATGGAAACTCAGGTGTCAGCTTTTCCGTAAGTCCCCTCTGGTGGTCGGTAGTACTTGGGGAAAGCCATCAGTTGCAGCATGTTGAAAGCATACTTTCTGCATTGGATATTCTTCAGAACATTCTCTATCCGGCATCCTTCTCTGGGAAGAGGGGAAAAAGGACAACTTCATGAAACAGAATAAATAAATATGCTTTATTTGCTCAATGCAGAGTTGCAGCAACAGTCCAAGTAAAAATAACAAAGATCAACTCTACATTTTTTTTTCCACAAATGATGATACATCTTACAAAATTAAATCCTAGGCCAGGCCCAATACCATTATTGCCCTCCAAAAGAGATGACCAAAGTCTCTTTGCTCTTCACAGACACATAAGCTTTAACAAACTCTTTAAATATAATTTGCTCCACAATACAACTTCACTTTAGTTTCATAAATATATCTGCCTTTTAAATAACTTTTCCCCAAGTTAATTTCCCAGTCTCTTTAAAACACATTAAAATCTATATGTAGCCCTAAGGATGCAGGTTCTAGGAATAAGGCATTTAATTTATTAAGTCTGGCCCTATAGATTTTCAAAGGAAAGTTTTACCTCTATTTAACCTCATTACTTTAGCTGTGCAACAGAGAGAAAAAAATGGCTTTCTGAATAGCCTGGTCCAAGTTTCAGCTTTAGAAAGGAAGAGAGTTTGAGCAGAACAGTACAAAAGTCACAGGTGTTGAAAATGGAGCATCAAGACACAAACAAGACCTCATTAAAAAGAATAGAAAAGTATTCTGGAAGCCAACACAACCCAAACCATAGTTACAAAGTGGTTCATTAATTACAAAACATAAAGTGGCCACTCTCTCCATAGAGTTATTTGACAGATAAGGTTAACTGCAGCAAAGAAATAACACAGCAAACAGGTTAAGAAACCAAACAGAAGGTTCTATCCGCAGATGGCGACAGTGATGTTAGCACAGTGGAAAAAAAATTCTGGAACCTCCCCACTTCTAGGACTTGTCCCGGGGTCTCAGGGTGTTGTGCAAATTCAGTCTCAATTTCATTAGCAAATTTCATGGGCGGAGGAACAGGAGGTGCAGAACTTCAAGCATTCAGGATTCTGTTCTTTGTCTTATTCCAAAGACAGTCATTGAAAAATTCTTCTTGAGCTAGTTCATAAGGGGAAACACTTTTCCATGAACAATAGAGCAAAATAATTCACTTAATGCATAGTACTTCTTTTTTTTTTTGTCTGTGTTTGTTTTTGTTTTAGATTTTAAGAAAAAAATAACAACACAACGCAAACATTTTTTTTCCTTGTAAATTCCGTGAACCTGAAAATGTAGAAATATTACAGCATTGTCCCCAGAACCGAAAGTCCATGGTCATTTGGTAGAAAAGAAAGGAATACAACAGGAGACTTATTGGTATTTGGCCAAGAGTAATGCCAGACTGAGAATGAGCCACACGACTAGCAAGTGAGAACTGACGAGCAGCAAGGCGACGGGATAGAAGTGTCGAGAAGTTGGCTTGTTATCAGGGAGACAGCCTGTTTCAGGATCATCGGACTCGCTCAGTGCTCCCTGGGTGTGTCTGCTGTTAGACGGGGGTGGGGGGGAGTTAGGGAAAGAAAGAAAAAGAGTAGAGTGTTCACACAATCAAGATACTCAAACTTCACAACACACAATTTACACAAGGCAGCTGTTGCAGATGATGTTTTTATGCGGAAAAGCCTTAATTGCATTCTCTGTGTTCTTTCGCTCAATGCATCACATCAACAAAGATTAAAAGAGGAGACTCCGTGGGCTTTGTGGGGAAGAAGGGAGAGACACGGACGTGACACACACACACACACACACACACACACACACACACACACACATGGCATGCATCTGTGTTTACGAGGTAGCATTAAGTAAGCACAATAGCAACGAGAAGGCGTGAATAAAACTAAAATATGGACCAGCCTGTAAAAATAATCTGCCAAACACATCTTAGGAAAATGAAATGAGAAACAGAGTATGTTCAGAAGCAACAAATGTGGCTGGCACGTTAAAACACACCTCTTTGGGTACTGGACCTATAGGATGTGTTTTGAGTTATGAACATGATTTATGGAAATGGCTTGGTATTTAAAATGACAAAACTTCTGACATGTCATCCTTCCCAGCTATACGATTAGTGGAACAAAGTCAGACTCAGAGCCTGGCTCTTTGTTCAGCTCATAAATTAGAGCGTCCCTGTCCTCTGCTCATCTCGCTGAGATGCAGCCGAGTCTCTCTCCTGTGAAACCCTGATCTTAAAGGGGCGGGGTGGGGGGGTCTTATTTGCTGTGTGTGTTAAACAAGGTCTAGGGAACTGAACACAGAAGCAGCTGTAATTATGGCAAATCTGAAATGTGCTACACAGGCATGATTTGAAAGTGGAAATTCTTTTCTATGATCTGGTTCATCATGGCACAATTCCAATCACACTCTGTTGTCCGGAGGTGATTTGATGTCTAAGGCCTACTCTTGGAGTTTCAGCATAAAACGAGTTGGCATTCAGTCTTAGAAAGCTGTTTTGGATCAACATAACTTTTACACAGGCTGAACTTCCAAGATCCTCTTTCAATGACAGCCCCTGAAACCTCAGACAGGACATTTGAACCAGACACGGATCACATTCACAGTCTCATTTGGAAGAAGAATTGTCATATTTTTTTTCCAACAGGAGACTGGCTGTGACTGAAATGCCAATTGGCTCCGCATTAGTGTGCTGAGGCCGGTGTTTCCTGGCTGCTTGGTGAAAACTACGGGTTTAGAAATCTTTCATCTGGGAAGCAAATGGACTGCTGAGCAAAATGGACGGTTATCTTGGGCTTGCAGGATTCCTAGGGTCAATCAGTGACCAAATGAACCAGTGATTTTTTTCATTTATTCAAAACTTCCCTTTGTATACTGGGTAGAAAATAACGCCCCAGGTGTTCAGGCATTGTTATCTTTGAATGGGGCTGAGGAAAGATTCCGTGTCCTATACTGTGTCTTCCAAACAAGGGCTTCTTAGCACGCTTAAAGTCCTTACATTGCTCCTCCTAGAGAAATGGTTCATTAATTTTTCTAACCACATGTGAACATAACATTCTTGTTCTCTGTTACAACTTTCTGTTTTTCACATTCCATAATGTGAATTTCTTTAGTTGATTCGCACAAACTAGGCAGTGTGGTAGCAGATTGGTGCAGACTCTGGGTTCAGACTATGGCAATTTGAATTTGGTTCAGGTATTGGTTAACTAAGAATTTCTGGGAAAGTTATTTAACATTTCACTTGTTGACTTTTTATCTCTAAGATGGAGTCAATAATGACCATGATTTTACTTATTTCACAGAACTGTCATGAAGTATCCCAGGTATATCAACACATGAAGTTCTCTAGACAGCTGCAGTCGGTAAGAGTGTGCATGGCTCAACTGTTCACTAGACACGTCTCAGTATTGGAATCAGAATCTTTCTATATAATTCAGTTAGAGAGACAGACAGACAGACGGACAGGGTTGCGAGTCACTCATCTAGCCCCCAGGCTTTGGAGTACGTGTGTCCACTCTGGTGGAGCTGAGGGAGGTGGGACATCAGGACACTTCATTTCTATCAAATTTTTACCTATTTCTGCTTCTATTCTAGAATTGGCTTGGTGATATTCCAGTGACCAGAGATAGACAGACCACAGTCACAATGAATGTCAACATGCCACAGAATAATCTGAAATCGTTTCAAACCTCCAAGCAACCAGGTCCCACAGTCTGGTGGAAAAGAATGGTTGGAAATAACTGGCCAAGCTTAAACAATTCTGGGAATGAGTAAAATACAATTTTCAAAGCGGTTTGTTTCCTTCTCAGGCATTTTTGGAGGGGCTGAGCCAGGGAACGTGGAGGCATGTGCGGGTGGGCAGCAGAGTCTGAGAGAGACAATAAAGGTGACTGAAAAGGGGACTTTATGGTCCCCTTGAGTTTTCAGATGCACAAAGTAAAGAGACAGTCTGTACTGGTGGCTGCATTTTTTCCTACTCTCATTTCCAGCAATTGCAAGCTAAACCCACATTAACAAATAATCTCTTCCTATTATGATTTTCCCCATAGGCACGGGGACAACAGGAGTCTTATAATAATTGAGTAAGAAATACAAAAGACCAACTTAGCCTTCTTCCAGGAGTAAAATAGGCCTGGATAACTGCCAGCTTTTACCAAAATCACAATTCCATTCCATTCATTCCCCTTCTGTCTACTTTTAAGGTCATTCTCTGCCAAATATCAACTTTACCGACATCTTGGTTTCTTTCTCTCTCTTCCTCTCTCTCTCTCTCTCTCTCTCTCTCTCTCTCTGTATCATATATAATCTATGGACTGTGAAAAAATAGGTATAGGAGGTAAGGCTTTGATGCAGAGGAAATCCTGGTTTGATCTCTGGCATGTTGAGCACTGCCAGGAGTGACTTCTGGATACAAAGTTTGGAATAAACATCTGAGCACTATCAAGTGTGGCCACCTCACTCCTTTATATACCTAATCTATATTTCTATAAATAATAGATATATAATCTATCCACCTACTCATATACTGTCTACTAATCTGTCTACACACCCATCCATCCATTCACCCACCCATTCATCCATCCTCCCATCCATCCATCCATCCATCCATCCATCCATCCATCCATCCATCCTACTATCAATATCACATTCTGATTATAAATTTAAAATAAACATTTGTTACTGTCTATCAATATTATAGTAGAAAACAGCACTCTTTTTTTTCCCAGCAGGGCCGCTAAAATGGACTTTGGGCATGAAGTACGGCCAGAAATATAAGTGGACAGGAGGATGAACTCCTTATTCCAAATACAGGAGACTGATTGCTCGAGATGCCTTCCCCCCACCATCTCTGTAACTGCTAGAGCACATTTAACATTTTCCAGTCTGCTTGCTGTCTTCCAAGTGAAAATTGCCAATTAAAAGGCCGTGTCTCTGCGTGTTGAGGAGGAGGAACTGGTTTTATAATTTAATTTATTTGTTGTTTACTTACTTCCATCTCTGGAGATTGTGACAGTACATTAATAACACTGCACACAAAATCAACGTGTTATTCAACTGGAATGGAAAGCCAAAGGGCTGAAAGCGGGGGT